GCTTCACTTTAAAAGAAAGGAACCAACTTAAAAACTAAAAGTTATAAGTCGTAACTATAATTCACAATGTTGCCGAAATAGAAACTGGTAATAAATTAACAGTTCAGCACTTTCATACATGTAAAAAGATATCTATTGAGTAAACACAAAATCGGGTAAAATTGAAAATCCTAAACGTCTCACGGATTTTCTCTCTTCGATTGATGGCCGTTATCATAGGTAAATTATTCATATTATCATATAAAACTAGTTATCCAGAAAAAAACAACGTTTATGTAACACATATGTGTCTATGTGCGTATTGATCGTACATTCAACAACATCAATTGAGAAGACATCAGAAGTGTTCAAATAAAATGGATATTTTTGTAGTGATTTTATAACATTTTTATGTTATCATTACACACACACACACGCATATGTGTGTGTGTGTGTGTTTATCACTTAAACGTTATTTTTTCTGGATACCATATTTGAGTAGACACTCCGTTTATTTATTAAACAGTATATTTATTTATTTCATCTACCGCCCTGAAAATTCTAGAAATCTTATCTCACAATATCTGAACTCTCTGGCGGGATACTTTTCTTTAAATATCTTTCTCAAATATTCAGGCTGTGAGACGAAAATAAGTATCGTATATATATATATATATATATATATATATATATATATATATATATATATATATAGTTATACTCATTTGGAAAAACCATAGGTATTTTTGGCTTGTAATTGAACAAACCAATGCCCAAGGGAAAATAACTGATAAAAATAAATAAAGAACTAAGACCATGAAATTGAGGCGAAAGCAATCGTCCAGAATTCAAGCTCAGATTCCAAAGAAAACAAAAAATCCACCAAAACTAGTAATGCAAATGCAACTACGTAAAGTGCTCAATAGGCTAAGTAGCGCACACCCAAATATGAACCTAAAGAGCCAGGTAAACCTACCTAGGTTTCACCTATCCGTATCGTCGGAGTCAGTTGACCCTGGTGATTCGTATAGGTGAGACCTAGGTAAATTCTATATATATATATATATATATATATATATATATATATATATATATATATATATATATATATATATATATATATATATTAAGGCATTAAAAACAAGAAATTTTATATTGTAGGCAAAGATATGTTTAAAACAAAACACACCAGTCGACCGGTTTCGTCCCCCCTCTCGTCAGAACTGTTAACGGGGGAACTAAAATTATGAGGAAAAAGAAAAAAAAAAGTCTGTCATGGATGACATGAATGAGTGGACATGAAAAGAATTATACCAACCAACATGCTAGAAGCGCAGTACAGCAAGTCCAAGCAAACAAGCAAAGAGATTGTTTGCTTGGACTTGCTGTACCGTTTCAAACCTATATATATATATATATATATATATATATATATATATATATATATATATATATATATGTGTGTGTGTGTGTGTGTGTGTGTGTGTGTGTGTGTGTATGTTGTGGGCGCTCTGAATGTAATGCCTCCGGTTGTATGATTGTCTCTTTCTCTTCCTAAATATAACTTTGCTTTCGGTTTCAATTTTCATTAATAATTTGTCGTTCAGCCCTTGTTCCGTCCCAGTTATTCTAGTCAGCCTTCTGTAGAATCACTTTTCTGTAGCCTCAAGTCTCTATTTCAACTTTGATGAAATTATCTAGCATTAGCTGCCATATAGGCGGACGGATATTACGTGACAATTCAGTTCAATTTCCTTTGTTTGTAACGAAATTCGCCGGTGTCTTTGCTTAGTTTCTGAACGTATCTTTCGCTTTTCTGATGTGCCTTCGGATTCCATTGTCTCATTTTCCCTTCTCTCTCAAAAGCCTTCTTAGATATTTGAATTTCGCGTACTTGCTTTATATTCCAATATAATATTTAACTTCTTGGTCTCTTCCTCTTGTTAACAACCAAGTATTCATTTTAAAATATACTTATACATATGTTTTTATTGTAAGTGGTTGTCGTTTTATTTCCATCTAGTTTTTTAATACCTTCTGTGGGTACAGTATTTGCATTATTCGGACTATTGTCCTCATCTTTGTCGCCATATTTGTCACAACGTTTCGGCCGTTGTACGCTTCAGCCTTCTTTAGGTGGTTGGAATTTCGAACTGAACCCTTTATTTCGATCACTGGGGTAGACTGTTCTAGTTCCTCAAGGATACATGGCACAGTGGATAAAGGCGTTGGTTAGATCAAGTGACAGACCCAAAGAAGGTGAGTTCAATACCTGGTTAAGGCAGTGGAGAACTTTCAGAGGGAAAATTAGCAGGAGATAACTGATAACTGACATCCATCAAACATGGCACGTGCTCTGTCTATTTTATTTGCATTCTTCTGTAGAACTACACCCTTGTTGTCACAAGTCTCCTCCTTATCTGTGAGGATATTTTCCATTATTCGCAGCTATATAGAAGGATTGATATTACGTCGCCGTTCAACACTATTTGATAATTCAGCTTATATTGTTAGTGTTTTGGTGTTCCTTAGATTTTGATAAATTTATAAGATTTAACTCTTACTTTTGTTCGTTGATGAAGGCTTTATTCTGGTACCCCTTGATCCACATCAGGATTTGCTTCTGTTGTTCATTCTTAAGTGTCTTGCAGGATTTCTCTGTCAGTGCATTCACCAGAGTAAAGGCATTGATTGAATGTCTTAGTGCATCGCCGCAGTATTCCGCTACATCAACGACTCCGAATGATTCAAAGAATATCTTTGTACGGCGGGTGACAAAATCGTTCAGATGTTGTCCTTGAAACACAAGTTTTTTTTTTGTTGTTTTTTTTTTTTGCCTTCTGATCTTTTCAATTGTTTCCTTCCCTTAGGCGTTCTCAAAATTCAGGAATATAATTTCCTTTTCTTCATGAAAGATGCGTATATCTATAAAACAATTCAATAATTGTTTCTGACAAATATCGAAAGTGGCTTTTCTGCGCGTTCAAAGCGTGATATTTGTATCAATTTATTCCATGTTATTTTTGGTAACGATCAAATTACAGTTTTTTTTTTTTTTTTTATCTGGTTCACCCCCAGGCAAGGTAGTATAGCCCCTGAGACTCAAGGATTAATGGGTGGAAAAGAATTAGAAGCAGAACCATCGCTAAGGAGCTAGAACAAAAGGAATAGGCCTGTAGATAACAATTGATATTGCATTTTAATTGTTACAGATTAAAGTTGGCTTTAATGCATGTTGGGGCGCACCCACCTTCTAGAAATGGACTGGTCCCTCTTATATAAGTCAGCTCTAGAGAGAGGATGGGAGAGCGTCAGCGACAGCAGTCCAGATAAGGTTACCCGTTACATACCGTTGGACTATAGACTTTGGATATTGTTTCGTACTAACCAACCTTCGTTCTACTAATCACTCTATTGTTAATTGCTTTTACAAATATACCAGTATTTTCCTCTACAACTGTGTTTGTCTTGATTCGTACACCGACACGCGGGAAACTCACAACATCTCAATGCATGAAGCTGGAATAGAGTTCCACAAGGAAAAATGTTTGAAAAGAACAGCATTGAATATACGGTTGCATCTAGAAAATTCACCTGTAAATTGATGTTACCTAGTCGTCTGCCCAGTAGTGCAGCCCTTTCCTTTTTTTCGAAGGTGTAGTCGCATTAAGGTAAACACTAGTTTAGCCCGATGATGTCCTAAATGAGGAATCAAAGGAGACGAAAAATTTGGATGTAATTTTAGATATTCTAAGATTTGTTATATATATGGAGAACGAATACTCAGTGCTGAGTGTATAATATATGTGTTAGTTCATTGCAAATGTTCCTACCCGATTTTCATTGCTAATAAAAAAAAATGGCCGCGACTTGGCACTGGCGTTTGTTTCGGTGCCGCTTTCTGGTGTATTCTAGATTGAAACCTTGCATCGTTCAATTAACAGTCAAACTTCGTTGAATGTTAATGTTTTGTCCTCAAATGGGCGCCTTAAAAATTGAGGATGAACAGTAACAGATTCTCCATACTAAGCTCTATGAATTTCGGAACAGGATTAAAGATTTAAAAACATTCAGAAGGTTTATTTGGATCGTGCTCCAACTCATCGGATAATTTAAAAAATGGTAATTTCTTCCTGGTGATTTTAACCCCAAAGATTACCCTTCGGACGACATTTCGACGTTGATGTAGACGCTCTGCTTGCCTTCCTGGAGAAGAAACATTTTTCGACGGAAGAGGTTGCTAAAAATTTGAAAATCGATTTAACAATTAGATTTTGCCACTTGAAGAGACTTGAGTTCGCTTCAAACCTCGAGACGTGGGTACCACATTCTATGGGAGAAAAAGAAATGAATCATTTATGATAACGTTCGACGCAAACGGAGCTCGAAACAAGCTTGAGAATATGTAGAACAAGTAGCTAAACGGGCTTCCATACACTGAATGTGTCGCTGTCCGTTTGGTAAGATAGCAGTGGTATAATTCACTTTTCAGCTTCTTGCAACCGGCGAAACAATATCTCCTAAGAAGTGTTGCAACCAACACAACAATCTCGAAGATCAAGATAAACGGCCGATTTTGACAAATCGAAATGTCATTTTCACCACGGGAACACAAAACCGCAAGTTGCAAAATAGGCCTTGCAGAGACTTAGAGAGTTGAAATTGGAAGACCCTTCAGCGCTTACCGTATTCTCCGGCATTGGCTCATTCGGATTTTCATTTTGTTTCCGCCGCTACAGATCAATTTAAATGAAAACAACTCTGCCTTCTTCACAACACTCTTCTAACATAAACAAAACACACACAAGAAATTTCTCAAAGCTTGTCAAACGAAAGTATTTGACTGAAAAAAATTGTGGGTATATAAAATATTGGTTTTGATTTTCTAATCAGGTACAAACTTTTAATAGATATAAAAAATATGAACGTTTAAAGTCTAATTGAATTGTGACTGCAGTTTTTTGCTTTAATCGATCACCAGACTATCAAATGGTCTGATGATTAATCCGTGAAACAGCTAGTCATTATCATATGATGATTGCTATATTCACACTTTATTTCTATCTATCTATCTATCTATCTATCTATCTATCTATCTATCAAAAAAAAAAACACTTACGCGACCTTGTGGGCGATGAATTATTTTCAGACCTATTGTCTCTCTCGAATCATCGCACGTCTGTTGCTATTATCCTGGCAATTGTTCAGATGTGCCACATTCCTTAGTTTCAGCTAAGACGTGCCTTGTCATATATGCAGGCTAAGCTCATTCATATTCCCTTTATCATCCATTGGTATGGAGGAAGTTCCACATAGACTGCTTCTTCTCGATAACGGCTACTTCCAGCAGACATCCAAGAGAATACCGCCGAGATCACTACAATATTATTTTTTTTTAGTTATCTTATTTAATCTCATTATTATGTTTTCTTACGTCTATACAACAACCTTGCTCATCAATATTCTATCTTGAGTGGCTCTTTATTTTAGGAAAACCTTTAGTAATAAAATATATAGATAGGTAGTCAGCTTCACGCCTAAGGTCGGATCGCTTAGATCAGTCACGGGAAAACTGCAGCCAGCGGGCCACATGCTGTCCCTTATGTCTTTCTGAATGAAACGCTTAATTTCATATTATATTATATTATATTATATTACCAGTAATACATTTTTTATAAAGAAAATTACCAAACTATATATATCTAGAAAGCCTAAAAGTATAAAATGATGTACAAAATACCTGTAGTTGAATCCATGCAACTGTGTTCAAAATATTTAGATTTCTGCATTAAATAATCCATAGCGGTTGATATACCACTAAACAAATCAAACCTGCTTGGGGTGAATCGATTACAAAAAAAAAGAGTTTTTTTTTTCTCATCAGAATCTACCTTACATTTTTATAAGATTATCATTCAATCCATGCATCGAGTATTGTTTCCACCTCTTGTCTGATACTTTCGCTACATGTCTAGAAATTCTAGACCAGTCATGGTTAAAGGCCCGTTTGCTCTTTGTGAATGACACGCTTAATTTCATACGGAAAATAAAGTTTCTGAAAATTTTGTTTCGTTATCACTTGTTCACTCACACAATCTCTCACATATAACCACATACATAAACAATGATTAAATACAAAGTTTCTTGAATTTTGCAATATTTCAGGGAAAGTAACGTTGTAAAAAGTTGCTCACAGTTTATGACCATGGTATTTTTTAGCATTCGTCGTTTAAACCACATATGCGTCGCTCACACGTCTATAGTACAGTTGTGATTGTCATATAGGAAACTAGATATTGCAAATCAGTCATTATTTCTTTCGACCTGCTCTATAACGATTTTCGAAGCATTGCTTAGATGTGGAACAAGGCCGAATGTATGGAGCACCCAGTGAAAATCGAACTCACTACTCAGTAGTAACTGTTCTGGCGACACAAGCTTTGTAACCATTACACCGCCTCGAGTTTCCCAAAAGATTTTCTAAGTGGAGCTTAGATGTGGCACAAGGCCGAGGATAAAACTCACTATTCAGTTGTAATTGTTCTAGCGAGAGAAGCTTGCTAACCATTGCACCACGCCGAGGCGCCCTTCAACATGTTCTGTAACTTTGAAACTTTGCTCAATTTCTGATTTTAAAGAGCATGTTTTTTTTCCCGCAGATTTTTACTTTTACCTGATCCATTATTCAATCAATCTATTTCCTGCTCCTGTTTCGTAATAAATATTTGCATATTTAATTATATATTCATAGAAATGCATTTTAGAAAATTATGCAATATCTGTCAACCAAAGGGAATAGCCTTATTTATTTATTACGCGTATGTTTAATCTGCAATGTATGATGTACATGTGTCTTTGTTCGGAAGTATTAGATGATTATATGTTATATCGTAGTAAAAGTATACGCTACATACCAAAGAGATGCAGGAGAACACAACTCCGATTACTCAGAAAGGCCAACTCAACACAACGACTGAGCATCTGATCAATTCAGGACTGTGACAACTCAGGACCGAGACAACTCAGCACCAGAAAAACAACATTTTATTTTATAGCTGAATAAAAATAATGTATTAAGGATTAAAACCATAAATAATGAATATTTCTCTTCAAATAAGGTATTTGAAAAGGCATTGTGAAGAATATGAATCAGGTTCTTTTTTTTAATCATTTTTGATAAAGTAAATCATGAATAAATCTATTTTTATAAAGTGATATATAAAATATCATTCAGTAAAGCACACTTGTTTTTAATTATATTTTAATAAAGTAAATCGAAAAATTCAAAACAAAATGAAGCAATTTTATGTTTTTTATTATTTTTGATAAAGCAAATTGTAATGTAATTTATTATTTAATAAAGTCAATTGAAATTCAAAAATATTTTTATAAAATATTATATAACATTTGATTTTGTGGATAATTGGAATTAAAAGCTAAGATGATATTAATTTTAACATTTATTTTATTAAAATTAAATTTCATTACGATTAACTTTATTAAAATAATTTAAAAAATAATTTAAGATTAATTAGGGTTTTAATCCTTAATAAATTACTTTTATTCAGTCATAAAAAAATTGTCTGGTGCAGAGCTGTGTGACTTGTCCCACTCTTGAGTTACCCTGGCAATTAGTCGACGCTGTTGAATTGGTTCTGTTCAGTTGTCTCGTCCCGGTAACAAAGCATATCGTATTTGATGTATAATATATGCAACACTTATGATTTAGTTTGTTTTATTTTGTTTGACGGCATATCAACCTCAATATGATTATTTATTGCTGACAAGATTTTTAGGATAGGTTCGTAGAAAATGTATTCTTTATGAGAAATCGGTTTGTAGGTTTCATTGACCTATCTTTGTAAAGAGAGTTTTTTTTTCGAGAGTCAAATGTATTTCTGGTAATATATATTTTTTCAATAATGTATTACTGGCATTTTTTAAAAAATGTATTACTGGTAATATTTAAAAAATCTATTGCAGTTACCTTCACAATAAAAATTTATTTTAGTGCTTTGACCCCAATTTGAGGATTAACTCTTTGCTCATAGCAGGGACCTAACAGGTGCTAACACCCCGGACCAGGGTGAACCTGGGAGCAACAGCAACTAAGAGATGGTTTCACGCCCCTTAAAATCTCCCAATCAGAGACCTTGCTGCTGCATGTGGTTTATCGTCATATCTAAGCCGCACATTACTTATGTGTTTAAAACAAATGCAGTAGTAACGATCATACCAAATATGAATGGAATATAAATTGTGTCAAGTAATTTAGTAGCTTAGAGTTAAGCAATATATAGAATGGCAAACTACTGGTGAGAAATCTCATGACAATTGGCGTTAGTTTGAACGAAATTGCCATGGGGTTCTGGTAATAATAATTCGCCATTTTATTTTTTTATTTTTAATATATAAGATTGAAAGAAGGAGCGAAGCCACTCATACAACCGCAAGAATTTAAAATGTCATCATGTTTTTCGCACCTGGGCACGTTATTACGTGAAGATAAATTGCCATGAATTCTTCTGAAAGATAGTTTTTTCCTGCCAAGATGGACGCAAGTTCAAATCCTTTCAGAGAGCACATATTTTGCTTTAAGAAGATTTCTCGAATATTGAAGCCGGTAAACGAAATTAAATAAACTCAGTGTCTTCCCACTAAAAATATCTTTTAAAGTGATTACTTTTATTTTTCATAGATATATATCCTGACAATCAGCGTAGGTGAAAACTAGTTAGATTTGCCTGGCTCTTTAGGTTCATAGTTAGATTTTCTCCACTTACTGGATTGAGCCCTTTATTTAGTTACTTTTGCTTTATTCGTGTTGGAGGGTTTTTTTTTTGTTTGGACTCTGAAGTTGGATTCTAGTCGATTGTTTTCGTCTCAATTACATGTTCTTAGTTCTTTTTTTTATTCCTTATTTTTCTTTAGGTATTATTGGTTTGTTCATTTACACGCCAAAACACTTAAGGTTTTTTTCAGACGAGTATAATTACTTATATATATATATATATATATATATATATATATATATATATATATATATATATATATATATATATAATATAATATAATATAATTTCTAAGAAAACTGTTTGTCGTTGATGCATTCATAATGCAGCGAAGTAATCTGAAGAACTGAAGCCAGAGACAACTCAAAACGCAATATAAGACCAAGGAATTAAAATTTAGTTTTTAAAATTCATGCTGGCAATTTCAATGATAGTTTTAAACTAGTAAATTAAAGTAACTCTCCTCCTTGTGTATTTCAGCAACGGGCTTTCGGTCAAGTGTAACAATATCGTGAACGAAGCGTGCTAGGTACTATTTAACTGAACTAGGAACTTTTTCATACTCTCATTACAATCAGAGTAAGCCAAGGGTATCTTTTGATGTGTTGGTATGTGCAATGATACAAATGACCAGAGCATCTACTTTTTAGATATTTCCCCGAATAACCTCTTCATGTCTAGGGCCACATTCTCATAATCTTCACTTCCTGTCTAGGGTCAGATTCTCATCATCTTCACTTCCTGTTTTCTCCTCTCACGTCCATATCACGCGATTCATTCGGTAACAATCTATCATGAGTAGGTCGTGTATTGGAAGAACATTATTAATAAAAATGGATGTTAAAAATAGAATATTTCGATATATTCCAACAAAAAGAGTTAATAAGATTTATGTTTAATGAATACGGTAAAACAAACTTTCTTTTTTTTTTCTAGGAAGAGAGATAACTAGTTGAGACCTACTGACAAAATTTTCACGTTCGCAAAAAATGATCGCTTATGTCGCATTGATCATGTGTAGCTATTTAACATCTCTTGTTTTAAGGCATTTTCTCTATTTAAGTATGTTCGATTGATAAAGTGCTCACTGTATATCACAGAATGTATATTGCAGTGTCTTATTTATTGAAAATTTTATATCCTTTTCATCTATCCTCTATTCTTTATGTAGATAAAATATCCTATTTCCGTACACAAATATATTGTCGACTCCCACATACGTCAAGATTTAAAAAAAAAAAAAAAGAAAGAAGGAAAGAAGGCTGGGTGAAGCACGAGGTAAAGAAAGAAAGAAAGAAAATCAGAAAGAAAGAAAGAAAGAAAGAAAGAAAAACAGAAATAAATAT